ACGGACATGGCTAGATCGACTCGGCTATTGATGCTGATCAAGAATATATATACTTTATGGGGTCGGAGATGCTTCCTTCTGCCTGTTACATACATTTGGAATTCGCACAAATACAATATACCTTTATACCCATCTTTAATGGGTTCAGGGTATAAAAAAATAGTTTCCCAGGCAGACCGCAACTCTCGCTATGCCTCTAATCAACAGCCACACCAATAATTAAGCAAAATCCAAATGTATGTAATAGGCAGAAGGAAGCATCTCCGACCCCATAAAGTATATATATTCTTGATCAGCACCAATAGCCGAGTCGATCTAGCTATGTCCGTATGTCTGTCTGTCCGTATGTATGTTGTTTTTGTTGCTGGTTGAAAAAAAATATTTTGGTATGGTTACAGGTACTAGTCCACATGAGGAATATTTTTTATTTTTTTTAATGCGTATAATTTTATTAGTTTCAAAGCAAACGGTGAGCTGTATTTGGTGTTGGTAGAAGAGACTGCAGGGTATCCTCTTCTCGGCAAATCCCGACTAAAAACTCTTTTTTTAACGTCAAAGCGCTAATTGCTGCATTTGGTGTTGGTAGAAAAAGGTTCAGTCGAGCACTCCCGACTAGAGCACTATTACTTGTATCTTTATTAATGCGCGTAGCGCGAGATGCATTTGGTGTTGGTAAAAGTTTCAGGTCACTGCCGACTAGAGCATTCCTTTATGTTTTATATACAGCTATGAAAATTAAAAGGTAAATAATATAATAGTTTTTAAATAAGTGTAAAGAAAAACGGAAGAGCTTTATTTAACAATCTACATTGAACTCAGATTTCGTCAGCAGCGGGCTGTGATGATTATGAACAAGTTCGTTGTCGACGAAACCTGCATACTGTGTGGAGTGGCAACAAGTACCATATTAGAAAGTTGGAACTGTATATACATATATCTATTCACAATCTACAAATTCAACAGACCTCAAGCATACACGAAGATGCCCGTCGTGATGTACAGACCCAAAGTTCTATATACTCTAAATAGGCGAGTATATTCAATGTATAATTTAGTTTATCATTTTGTTTACTTGTTGCTATGGGGTGGGGTGGATAGCTATAATATGAAACGTACTTGATTTTTACACACTATTCTAGAAGCAACATGTATACCCGATATGAGGTAGTCAACCTTAGGAAAAGCTCATTCGATCCTACCCTTTAAATAGGGTAAGTCCAAAGCAAAAGAGGGGGAGGGAAACCCAAATGGACAAGAAGTATAAATTCATGGGGTGTGTACATATCATCAAATACCTAACCGTAGTCGATGTACAGAACAATTTGCATTTTGGAAAGGAAAGCAAAATTAACTAGAGAAGTTAAATCAGAAAACTTTACGAATCCATGTGGAGCAGAGGAAACAGCTAATCTGCAGACATGCAAAGCAATTATTCAAATAGATTATGATTAGCGAAAAGATTTGCAATACCCGTGTAATAAGTTTGGTCAGACATCCCACATTTTTTGAGGGAATAATATAAGAGAGATAGATAAAAAAGATTTAGAAGTCGGCGAAGAGATGTAGGAAACTATTAATGTTCTCAGGCCCAGAAGGGTACGATTTTAAAGAATTTATTGCTGAAAGAAGACGGGATAGGGAAATAATGGAAGCAAATATAGAACTAAGGATAAGAGTTGTTATTATGCGAGACAGATGAATAAGTTAATTGGAAAAAGTAGCACATTAGTCTGGCTATAATTTCCTTTACCAAAGAAGCGGCAGTTTGGTGACTCTAGCTCTTATTATTTATCTGCGCGGGCACTAGGAGCACCTAGACGGACAGACAGACAGACAGAGGGACATGGCTAGATCGACTCGGCTGTTGGTGCTGATCAAGAATATATATACATTATGCGGTCGGAGATGCTTCCTTCTGCCTGTAACATAAATTTGGATTTTGCACAAATGCAATATACCCTTATACCCATTTTTAATGGGTTCAGGGTATAAAAAATAAAAATCAATTCCAACGTAATATAATTCAAATATACTTCAAAATTTCAACAGAGCCTTACAGTTTTGTGCCATCCGAGGAAAATAGGGAAATAAGTAAAACCTTATTGACGTCACTTTATTAAAAACTCCTACGGAAAATATGTTCCGGTAATTGCTTTTTTGGGTGAAAACACCCTTGCATAGCTATTTATGGATATAAGTATATTGCAACTCGAATATACATATGTTTGGGAGGTTATTGTGTCTTCGCCACCCCGTAGACAATTGTTTCATCTTGATTTCGTCTGTCCGTCCATCCCTATGTACGAACGAAACCTATGAGCTAAAATGTAAGCTGTAGGTCCTCCTAGTACACACGCAGATCGAGTTTGTTTCTGATATTCGATAACTTACTCCGTTTCCAAGAAATAAATAACAATTGATTTCGAAATCCTGATTTTTTTTAGCAAATTGGGCCACAATTTAAAGTCAATTGAATTTTGGAGAATAAACGAATATTTTTGTGGACAATAGGATCTACTGCTATACATTTCATCAAGATCGGTTAAGAACCACAAAAAAAAACAGGTTTTGGTTACCCACGTGTTTATGGTAGCTAGCGCAAATTCCAAGAATTTCTGTATGTAAACACACACACTCAGAAGCATTTGACGGTGTAATAAGAGGGGTCAGGATAACCCCTAGTCGAGAGCTCCCGACTAGAACCTCTTACTTGTTTCATAAACATATTATTGAAACAACAAGTATCTGCGTTACTTGTTTACTGAAAGTAATTATTAATTTTTGAAACCCAAACACATATATACATACAGTCATTTGTCACTGACAAAACTCGTGCGCTTCGGTAACACAATTTAATACCCAAGCATTAACTATAAAGAACTTACACATACATGCTTGTATAAACGCGCTGCCAATAAAACACATTCAATGTCGAGTCACGCATAATTCCTAATACTATCAAACCGAAACGATAAGAACAAATTTCAAAAGGCATTCGTGTTTTAGTTTTCTTACATCAGCAGCCTACTACACTTTTATTTCTCATTTAAAATAGTTCGTTCTTTTTTACCTTGATTCAAAATAATTTTTAAGACAATTTGTGGATTGCTTTAATGCTGGATTCTAACAACGAAATAAAATACGTACGGATGCCATCGGTTACATTTAGGTGAGACTATGTTGTATACACCTCTAATGTAATATTTAATTGTAAGATATGTTCCAATGGAATCGAATACGAACAAATAATTTATAAATACTTAATAAAAATGCTGTTTTATAATAGAATCAAAAGAATTAAAATTATTTTATTGAAACAAAGTATTCGTCTAAGAAATTGATACGCAGTGCTATTGAAACGGTGAATGAAGGGTGTTAAAAGCGCCAAAATGAAACATTAATCATTATGTTCACCTTTTTGGGTATGTAACAGGAAAACAAAGCATATTTGTTATAATAATAAGAGCTAGAGTCACCAAACTTGACATATAGCTTCTAAAATAGAATATATGTATGCATTTGATGCTTGGAAACGGAGTAAGTTATCGATTATCGGAAATAAGCTCGATCTGCGCAGGCACTAGGAGCACCTACATCTCAAATTTCAAATTTTTCTAGCTCTTATAGGTTCTGAGATCCTTGCGTTCATACATACGGATAGACGGACAGACAGACAGACGGACAGACAGACGGACAGACAGACGGACATGGGTAGATCGACTCGGCTATTGGTGCTGATCAAGAATATATATACTTTATAGGGTCGGAGATGCTTGCTTCTGCCTGTTACATACATTTGGATTTTGCACAAATACAATAACCATTATATTTTTAATGGGTTCAAGGTATAATGAGTTTGAAACTGATCGAGCGGTAAACAAAAAAGATTCATTCTGTTCACACTGTTGTGGGTGTAATTTTCCAAATCGCTGAAGCACTTATTCATTAAGTTCTTATGTAGAGCTTTTGAAATAAATTTGAAGCAAATCGGGCAAAACCTAGAAAAACGAATAAATAAATATAGAGGCCAAACCATGAACAAATGCCCAAACCTTATGAAAATCGGATGGGATTTGACCAAATAATAATCAAATCAAGTAAGAGGTTCTAGCCGGGAGCTCCCGACTAGGGAATACCCTAAACCCTCTTCTTCCAACATCAAATGCATATATATATTTTATTTTAGAAGCTATATGTCAAGTTTGGTGACTCTAGCCCTTAATATTTACCGTTTATTATTTATCGATTGCTTGGAAACGGAGTAAGTTATTGATTATCGGAACAAACTCGATCTGCGCAGGCACTAGGAGCAGCTACATCTAAAATTTCAAGTCTCTAGCTCTTATAGGTTCTGAGATCCTTCCGTTCATACATACGGATAGACGGACAGACAGACAGACGGACAGATATATATATATACTTTATGGGGTCGGAGATGCTTCCTTCTGCCTGTTACATACATTTGGATTTTGCACAAATACATCATACTCTTATACCCATTTTTGATGGGTTCAGGGTATAATAATGATATAGGATAATTGAGGGTATCATTTTTACAAGAATTTTGACCAAGAATAATGTTGCTCTTTGGTATAACAGCACATTCGAATGCATTTATGTTTACATAAATTTATGCCCGGAACATTTTATAAATAACGTGTATTTCCCGGCCGGGCACTACCGTATGAACACTCTAACTTGTTTTGTAATAAGACTGTAATATGAGCAAATATCTCTTAACTTCTTGTTTACAGACAAAAGTGTACATCTTCTGTAATATTTTTGTAGGCAGATTCCTATAATACTATAAGCTGGCATAGTCGCTTAATTTTGGGTCTCATATATTTGAAATTGTGTTAGCCTGTGTACTAAAAGTAATCAAGCAACGGCAAAAAGAGAAAGCCAATAAAATCGCTAATCAACTACTCAAACATAGATTCACAGACAGCACAGTCGACTGCAGTAGCTGACAAAAATATTAAAAGCTATTAGTAACTCAGGCGACATACTGCTGAATAGTTGTAAACAGCGTATGCTCTTTTACAAAGTCGCGTTATCTGGAAAATTAGTGGAACTCAAGCTTGTTGACATTTCTTACGCATGGTTAATATTGAAACTGCGTTTTAAGCCTCGCCCAAATGAATTTAAATATGTCGCTAAACAACATAAATACAAACGGTTTTTACGATGAACCGATTTTATTGTGGAAAACAAAGCAACGCGTTCATTACCAAGATGATGTGGCACGAACCAAAAAGTGTGTGTTTTCATTTAAAATGACCTAACTATTGAATAATAATTTTAAGGTTGTACATTTGTAAATATTTTTGTAGACAAATCAACGATGATATCGTGTTTGCATGTGTGTGTGAATGTGTATAAGAATTCAGTAGATAAGTTGTATAAGTGACCCAGAATAAAGTGTAGTATTATCTCAAGACCGTAGCAAACAATAATATTTAAACGTTGGACTGATATCTTGTAACTATTGTTTAATAATAATAACAATGATGATAATATTAATGTACTTATAAAATTAAGTAGTCAATTTTAAATGCGCAAATAACACTAACAACATAATCAAATTTTGTGTTACCGCGTTTGATGAAACCAACCAAATAACCAATAACCAAATTTTAAATGTTTTTTAAATTTTCGAAATATTGATATCGATTGCAAAAAGATTAACATAAGTGAAAGCCAATAGATATATAGCTTAGAAAAAATATAATACTCTTCAAAAATAACTTTTGCTTGTTAAATAGACTATAAAGCAAAAATGGCAAAAATCAATAGCGGTCATATGATGTTGCATAGTGTATAGTGTATATGTATCATATATTGAATTTCTTAGCTTGTGTACTTTTAATTCCAAAAAGCTTTGTAAATTAATTAGCCTTTGTTTAAAAATACATATTGATCGCAATGATTTTATGCAACGGTCTTCCGGCCAGAATACAGATATGACGAAAAAAAATAATAGTTATGATTTAGTTAGTTATCATTTTAGTTAGCGATAGCCTTCGATTATTTGTCAAGTCTTTTACTTTAACCTACTTCTAGATTACATCCAACAAACAATTATGCATAGTTAATTATAATTACTTCTACACAGATATTTCACATTATTTCATGCCTGTGCTTAATGTTCACCTAGTAAAGCTCTCTTTTCTTCAACTTCAACTATTTTTATATTACTTTTATTTTATTTAAGCAAAAGATTCTATTTGATATTTCATTTAGCTAATCTTTGTTAATAAAATACAAAGCTGATTAGTACAAAATTAGCACAGCACGATTTACCGTCAAAGGTATAACGTAAGTTGTATGAATATCATAACAGAAACAGATTTAGAAATCAATTCGGTTACGTATTGGCATATATACTTTGTTAAAAAATCTCCAAAGTTACCAAAGGTGTACAAATTTGTATAATTTCTTAGAATAATTCAAGCACATACATAAAATGTCATAGCTTTGAATAATTTAAATTCTTATTATCTAATAAATGTAAGGTTGGACCACAATGTTGCTAACTCCATTAATCTAATACGCATCCATTATACTAATATAGCATATACGTGTATTAAGGAACTTTAGATGTTTTAGCAAATAATGTTGTAAAATGTACAGTGTATATGTGTATTTTATAACGTACTTGTATACATTAAAACCTCAAACGAATAAGGTTCACGATAAAAAACTTGAGTAAATAGCAAATTACTAATTATATTGGAACGAATTATATAAAAATATTTCCGTTTGAAAAACAAAAACAATTGCATGTGTCCAAACTGCCTTTGATTGATACAAACATACTCATTTTGTTTATCAGTTAGTGATAACCCTGTATAGTTTACCGCCCGTGTGCTGGTCTTATATTGGCTAATTACGGGCTCTTCAGTCCTACCAAAGACCATAGCTTCGTTATGAGCGTGAAAGTATTGCAAAGCTCATCAAGTATAAGTTTCCACAAAATCAATCAAAAACCCATTAGAAAACTGATGCCCGACTGACCAGCCTTGCGATATCCATATTTTTAAATCGTCAACAAGAAGTCGCGCTGATTGTTACCCATAACCAACAAATCTTCTGTGGTCATGTCAGTTGATTTGCGAACTTAAAGCTGACCAGTGCGAGTGGATACCTTGCTTTAGTATATTTTAAGTCCCATTGTGCATGTGAATGTGTATGCGTGTATGCAGACAAGTTTAAATAGCAGGCGTTCACCGACTCTTTTTAACTGTTTAAATCGCAACTTTATATCAGAAATCAAGCACTTACCGACAGCTGCGAATATATTACAATAAGGCAACCGAAAAAATCGATATCCTTCTCTCGTCTATCGCCCGCCACGACGACACCGCCGGGTACACCAGCAATCTCCGGCAACGTTAACACATCCATTGCTGCTACTTCTAACTCCGTGAAACGGTACGCTCGTACCGCATGTGATCATTGCGGTCACCATAATATACCAATCATGTCACACCCTATTTCGCCGCTAGCGAAATCGCAGACTACATTGGAACTGGTGGAGCACAGTAACCAGCGTCAGGCTCTCTTACCACTCCCAGCTATCGGTATACACCGTGACGACTCAGCTTGCACACTCCAGGTGTCCCGCCGTCCTTCTATACTGTTGCAGGAGATCCTGACCCAACGACAGTCTGGCCCTGGACGGAAAGATCCCAGTAATTTTCTACATCCACGCAACTATAGAAATGCAGGGTACAGCTGGCATTCATATTACCAAAAATGCATATGCCTTATAATATATGTTATCATTAACTGTTAATAACATGCCATTCATTTTTTCAATTTTTTTTCCACATAAGAAATCCCAATGGAACTGTTAACGGCAGTACGGCGACCATCAATTTTCAAAGTGGCTCTGGAAGTGCTCGCAACGGTTCCAGTGCCAACTACGACAGTGGCGCAAAAAGCTTTCAAGCCAAACAGCAAAAAGAAAAAAACCGGAGAACGGGCAAGTAAGAACTTAATTATCATTGCATAAAATGCAATAAACTAATTACCTTCTTTTTTATAGCGATGCCATCAGCTCGGCATTGTCTGCCACTTATTGCAAGTTGCTAGTCCTGTTAGGTGTATGCCTTCCTATTACGGAAGTCATATCAGATCAAATACCAACCTATGTGTACCAGGGCTTTTATGTTTATTTATATGCTGTCAGCATATTTTTTGTCATATTTTTGTACATAAGTGCATTCCGTAATCGATCACTCTTCAATGCTCTCAAGGACTTTCGTAAGTCTAATACATACAATAATTATCGTGAATGATTATCCAATGATCTAACGACTTGTTATTTTCCGTTTCACTTTTTTTAAGTCTTACTGCAACGTACAAAGTTATAAACTCTAAAATTATATAAAAAAGAAAAATTTCCTTTAATATTTCTAACAAATTTGTTTATAAATCAAGTAAATCTCTTAAAGGATTAGTAATTCAATAAATATAACCATAGGTTTTAATTGAATTAAACAACTTTTTATATTAAAATACAGTTTGACACACAATTAGAGTAAATCCGGAAAATAACTCATTTGCTAAAAATCTATAAGTAAAAAACAAAAAAAAAACCCTTATATTGTGACCCTATTCTTTTAGACGAAAAAAATAGCAATATACACCTGAAACACAAAGTGAATCACTTCGGAAGCTTCTATCTACGCGTTGGCGCCATTGCCTTCGCTATTGGTACAATGGTATATTCAGGATTGGAATTTGGTCAATTCTTTGAACTAAATGGTCATGCTGGATGCCACGATGTCTTTGTAGCTATCACTCCTATCTGCCGCATGATCCTATGCATTGCCCAAGTACAGTTTATCTTCCTAAACACCACGTATATGGACATGGCGCGGCACAAGGTAACATCGCGATTTGGGCTCATGCACATGGTGGCCACAAATTTGTGTGAGTGGTTATACGTGTTGGTGGAGGAGACAAAACACGAAATATTTCATATAAGCCACCATGACATTGATCCAGGCCAAGATCCCGTATTACACAGCGGAGCACATGGAGGTCCTGACTGGTCAGCCGTAAACGAATCGCTACAACTTCACGGCCAACATTACATAGGATTAAAAATGCAAAACCGCTCCGTAGAAAGCATGGTTCACAACATATTAGCGAATATGTCGACGTCGGTTAGTAATATTACAATAATAGCAGCGCCTACACATGCCTCTTTTACTGGATGCTCTCGTACAACAATCATGGGTGCATTAGTCCAACAACTGTCACCATTTCTTTTTCCGTGTACGATTGAATACTCATTGATTTGCGCAGTAATTTTATTTGAGATGTGGAAGACTGTTAAATCCATACCGGACATCGACAAGACACGTAAAAACTCAGTAAAGCCAATTGCACAGAAGCCGGCACACCACTTCTCTGTCGATTGCTCCCAGTCTCACAAAGGTCTCTTTTTCGGCATACTAATTATTGTTATGACTATAATCTCAATGATTATGTACTTTGTGCTGTATACACAACCCGGCTACGAACTCATCGCAACCCAGGAAGTTACACTTTGGGAGACTTTTATGTACTTCATGTGCGCCTCCGCAGTAATAACAGGTACGTAGATTAAAACATTGCATTTCTTTTTTAGTATTTCTATTATTACAGGCATGATCTTAATGCGTGATCTGAGGTACATCAAGGATACGAGCGACGAACACCATTCAATGGATTTGGATAATCTCTTACTTGTAGTGGCCCAGACAGGCGTCTACTTGTATGGGATGTTCAGTATTTTTGGCAGCTATTTTGCAAAATGGGACACGGTACCAGACCGAGTTGAAGGCATTATTGCCGAGGTTTTTGGTGTGGTACAGACGTCATTGCAGACGATGTTTATACTACATGCTAGCCATCGCCGCTGCAAGGGATCTAAGCAAGTGCGTCGTAAGCCCGGCCGGGAGATTATTACGTTTTTGTTAGTTGCAAACATTGCCATATGGTTTGTCAACACTCTTATTAAAGGACGCGCTGTGTTTCGTGAGTCGCACCTTGAGTTTTTTGGTGTTTGGGGCTGGACAATTATTACACATATTTCTATGCCACTGGCGATTTTCTATCGCTTTCATTCTACGATTTGTCTTTTCGAAGTGTGGAAAATTACATACAAGGCCAAGGCACACTAATTAGATTAGATGGATATTAACAAATGTATTCCCCATTTGTTTTCATTTTTTATTATATTATTTTAAGTCCTTTGTAATTGAGTATTATTTAGTAAGCATTTTTAGGTTCAACAAATAAAAGATTAAAGTATTCAAAAAATCATTATTTGCGGTTTATGATTCTTGGCGTAAATTCAATCGTATTTGCATATGTATGTAAATATATGTATACACGCATACAAAGCATTGATACATACGACCAAAAAGGCACCCCGCAAGCTGCCAATATTATACAACAGCCGCACCCCTACCGCCCGCTCCACACTTTAGGAAATAATGCTTTCGATAAATCACTATTTAGTAGTATACAAAAACATACATGTCACATTTGGAATCCCTAGTTATTATAATCGTCTATATTTGTTACATATACCAAAGAACGATGGTTTCGGTTGCACATCGATATTTATTCATTTTCAGAAAACGCGAGGAGCTTTTGACTAAACAAACTGAACTTGTGATGCATGTTGTATACAAGAAATTATGTTCGAAGCACAGATTTTTATATACTTGTTTGGCCATTTTACGATAAAATCAATTAGTTATTGAAAGACCTTTAACAAAACCATTTTGTTAAGCTCTATAGTAAATAAAGCATTTAATTGTATACAGTGTACATATATGTAGGGTTACAATAAAATTACTAGCCTTGGAATTTTGTTTCCATACTGTAAGTGCCAAATTAAATTACATTGGTCAATAACATTATTATTTGGTTTAAATGTATTTTTTCTATGTATATGGGCTTGCAACAGAATCGATTTTGCCATTATAAGGTTAACTTGCAATTATGATTCCATATTTATTCATGGCGAAAATGACGCAAAGTTCTATAAAAAAGGGTACATTTTTAAATCAAATCTAAATTATTATATTTTTAGGCAAATTTTTGGCACAACACCGGTTAAGACAAAAAGACAAAAACTCAAATAAATGAATAAATAAAATTAATGATGTCGATTCAAAATATGAGTTCCTGGAGTCTACAAGTACTTATACTATCGAACTAACTGAATTATTGAAATATATAAATATGTGGGTATATTTTTATATTCAGAAATATACATTAATATATTAGTTATGTTTTATTCCCAATCCAAAAAAATTGTTTGTCAGTAGAAACAATATTAATGTTACATTTGGATACACTCGTTACAATCTGCTATTTTCATTTTTAAGAACTAGGGTTATTTAGTCGAATCAATATAAACGCTTTTGATAAATAAAGTTATCTATATTTGGGCAATTTAAAATTCGACACGCTATATGCCTACACTTACTTTAAATAGTCAGAAATAAATATTAGTTATAAATACGGAATTGTATAATTTTAGCATATTTGAAGTAGCACAACACTTGGTATTAGACGCCCTTAAAAATTGTTTCTTTCTTCTTTTATCCTTTACATAACCGTTACAAAACAGCACCTATATGATAGGTATACCATGCATTTAAGTAATACATATGTAAATTGGCATATGCCAAACTTTAATAACAACTTGCAACAAGCAGATATTTACCTACAAATATATTTTATATTTTATAGGGTTATGTAAACAAAATACCGAGTAAAACTTTTGAAATTTGTAATAGATTAAAATATAATTTTACATGCAACTATTAATTTTATATTGCGTATATATCTATATATATATATATATATATATATATGGTTTTATAATTGGTATTTAATTTATTTTATATTTTTTAATTTATATAGCTTACAAATGAATTTATTAATTACTTACATATTTTGTATGTATACTCCGCTCATAATTTTCATGTGAGTTTCAAAACATGTATTACCTGCATGCTATGCTGGTTTCAAAATATTTTTAACCTGCATTCAAGTGAAATATATTAGGTAAACCAAAAAAAACCTAACTGACCAAGTTTTTTTTAAAGAAATTGACATTTTGTAAATTGATAGCTTCTCATTGTAATCCCTGCATTAAAAAATATGAAGAACCCAAACTCTTAAGCACTTACACATGGCTATGATATATATATTCTTAATCAAAAAACAAAATAAATAACAAAATACACAGTAATAAACATAAAATGACAGAAATGTAGACGGACAGGAAAAAATAAACTTGGTCGCCAATACCCATCTAAAATATACTTACTTCTCATTGGGTCAAGCAGGCTATTTCTGTTTTTTCACTATACTTATTCTTGTTTCTTTATAAATTGTAAAATTATTAAGGGCTTAAAATACGGCGTAGTATACTATATGGAACCCAAAATGCGTTATGGGTTAACAGAAATATATATGTATGTACATACATAATACAAAAGTTATACGTACATATGCATTTACAGACAAAAAATTATGTAAATTAGACAAACATTTTTAACATTCATTTCACAATTCATTAAAAATTAGTTTTAGTATTAGCAAGTCTGGTTGTGCACATAATATAATATTTTGTATGTTAAAAAAATGATAGGCTCTTAAACCCATATTATATTCTTTTAGTATTATACTTTATTCCAGCACTTAATAATAATAAAAAAAGTGTGAAAGTGTAAATTCAATCCACCAGAGTTGCTTTCTATGAACTGTATTGGATATTCACATAATATACATACATATATATTTTTCTCTCTTAAGGTTTCGCTCACAAATTTTGAAAATGTAAGAGTGTCTAGTATTGCCTTAGTTTTCCCAATATATAGGTTTGGCAAAATCTTAATTTATAAACTAGTTAAGCCAATATTGTTAAACGTTGTATAATTTGGTTTATTGTTAAGCGTTCTACAATGTATTTAGTTGTTCCTATTTTTATAACTTTTAACTTAGAATATTTTAGAATGGATAAATTGCAGCTATGCTGGAAGTACTAGTAAAATTTAGTATCACAGTATTTTATATAAGGTCAAATTATGTTTTATATGTATGTTTATTATTTTGCAATATTCATTTTTCCTATTCATATTTAAGTATCATTGTTTTTTGTTGGATATTGATACACATGGCAACTCAGATGCGAAAGGATTGGGCGAAACTATAGAAACTAAATTTTTTCTTGTGTACATCCCATAACCATGCCGTTCACTTACTGAAAAGATTGCAATATAACTTACGCAAGGTTTTCAAATATTTATATGTAAGAAATACCAGAAATATTTAGCATAAAAATTATATGTCCTCAATTTTTAATTTGTTTTTAATTTTTAAAGCAGAACGATCCCCTAATATAAAATCCAATAAATTTAAATTTATTGCACCTTTATTCAATTTGGGCGACAAACTGTCATTTGTTAAAAGCAGATTCTTCCTGATCTAGCATATATACCTATACGTAAAATAAAAGATACAATATATGTATTTGGCGACAAATATTGATTTGTTAGATAAGAAAAATAGCTACTTAAATTGTTTATTTAAAAGTAAATGAACCAAAATTTAATTTAACGGATGACAAGATAAAACAATCATGGTTGCCACACTCAAGTTGGTCACTCGTAAAGTCATGTGTGCTAGTAGTGTAAATTATTAACTGTGCAACCCTTTCTATACCCTGCATGCAATTGTCAAAATCTTTGGAACAGACATATAAAAGCAATTCCAACTACATAATGTATATTCCAACTAACAAGCTTGACGTGGGGCGTAAGCCAATGAGACGCGAACCCAGTGATTCTGTGTATTGAATCATTAGGTCCGCGTCTGTTTAGCTTCCGCTTCACTTCGAGCTTGACGCTCCGGTTACCATGCCAAGCCCAATATCCCTTATGCCACCAACGATGTTTGTGACAGATCACTGATAATTCCCAATCCGACAATATGTCTGTAGTGAATGGTAAGGTGTTGGTGTAGAAACGGCGCAGCTTCGTAAGGCTTTTAAGCAATCTCTCCAAGTTCTTGAGCATAACAGAAAAAAGTCTATGAAAGCCACCCTAGATGCTGTGAAGTGCTTAGCAGAATTTGAGGGCAAGAATGAAACATGCGCTTATCGATTGTCAGCAGTAGCCGTGTATGATGTTAACAAATCGCAAATAATGTCAGATATATGGAAGACAAATAGGCATAAGATGACAAAATCCTCTCAAAATGGTTTGTTAGGAAACGCTCAGCGGACAAAAATAACAGAATTCCTTTACATATTGAACCCAGATCAACGATCACGGCCAAGGTGCATGGCCAATAATCCGCACGTATGCCAAGTTAGCGGCGCCAACAGCAACAGCTCTAGAGTTATTTTTATTAATTTAAACAACTGTCAAATTAGTTCTTAATCAGCACTCAAAGTAAACGGTTGTATTTTTTTAATAAAAAAAACTATTTACAATTGTTTAATTAGCGTCGGAGCAGGGACACAATGTCGTACAAGGATAACGCGACGCGTAAAAAGCGTGTGCCCTTACTTCAACTAAGAGCGGAAAATCACTTTAACGAGATCAATATAAATGTCACAAATTAACTGGAAACCCTCAGGAGCAGCAACACAAGTACAAAACCCGTAAGCTTTACCCTCCCAATCACACTACTCATTTTAATAACGGCAGTAGTTGTCCGTCTGAAAAGGTAGAAACACATTCCCAAACACGCTATTACATCACGTCCGAGTGCGTACGCTTTTTAAAGGGGAGGACAAGAATCAATAGAAATCTCTTATGCACCCACCCCAACGATCATGACCAAGGTGCATGACCAATAATCGACAGAGGTACCAAGTCAGCGCATTCCAAAGAGCCACCGTGGGACTACTAGCCATATCGAAAGTTATGGTAGGGACAGATCCAAACAAAGGAGAATCAACAATATTCCGGCTATCATGCCAAAAGAAAGTTATTTTAACTAACAATATACTGTCAAATAAATACTTAGGAAAGTTTCAGCCATGGGGCTCTATGCATAATGCATAATAAAACTACAACCTTAACTAAATTACTATATCGAGGCCGCAAGTTGTCAAAACCGCAGAAATTGTTAACACGGTAAGAACTACTAATTAAAAATGAGAATTAATGTCTTTTCACCAAAGAATAAATCCACATAGGCCCTATGGACGGCCTTGGTAGCAAATCAAACTCGCAATAAAGAAAAACGAAGAAAAAATTGTTAAAAAAATAAATCAAATCCATTTAGCGAAG